TAATTTTATCTTTTAATTGTATGTTACATCTCTTTTTTTCTCCCAAGGCTAAAAAATACATAAGCTTAAATACTAGAAATCATCATAAGCTGAATACCAAAAAATGATCAGATATAGAGTTTTATTAAAATGACCTAAATACATATAGATACAGTTTCAGTTTGCTTTCCTCTTCTGTATTGTGTAGAAAAATTTCCCTTTCTCCATTGTAAAATTTATATACTGTTCATGTATGATCCATGTATGATCCATGGGCATCTCATTCATTATCTTGGGCTTTTCCAGGTAAAATTGAGAAACTTAATAACATTGCTTCTATGTTAATATTAAAGACAGACCAGCTAAGTTTCTGAAAATAATACTGGAAAATTATAACTTGCCTCAGGATTACTCTCTGGGCTCATTGAAACTTTTCCCATGTGCACTTTCAAAGAAAAACTTGACATTGAAAATTTGCTCGTATATACCCAGGTACTGAAGTATTGTATCAGCATAGGGCTATACTATTGTGTTATCCATTCTTGAGTTTTCAGATTGATGTGGAGAATGATGGAAATCTTTGTGCTTTTTATTGTATTTTAAAGGTATCGCCATCAGAGAGTCTGCAAAGGTAGTTGACCAGGCCCAAAGGAGAGTGTTGAGGGGAGTTGATGACCTTGACTTTTTCATAGGGGATGAAGCCATCGACAAACCTACTTACGCTACAAAGGTAAACTTCTGAACGGTTTTTAAGAGCAGAGCCAAGAACAGAGCAGTCGGATGAATTAGAAGCTGTATTCCAGAGTTGTGGAGTGTGATTCTGCTCTTAGGCTTGGCTGGAGGTGGGTAGATGAACTATAGGGGAAACAGAACAACAGTAGGTTGTTTCTGAATAGGTATATTTCTGAGTGAGGAACCAAGTGAATTAAAGCTCTGGAATGCAGATTGACTCAGGGAACATGGTCACCCATGAAAGCAAAAATCTCCTCTTGAGAATTTCAGATTAATTGTTGAACCTATTAGACAAGGAAAATTATGGTTTGAGAAATTAAGAAGAAACACTAACATTGTTTGAAAAGAAGAAAAAAAGGAATGAAAGCACCAGATTCATTTGCATGACAGATGAGATAGATGCTTCTGCTTATCATTATTGAAGTGGATCTTTGTAATTGGGCAGTAACAGATATAAACAGTATGTACACAGTAGTAAACATATACAAACAGTGTTTCTGTTTAACTGCCTCTTGTTTTCCTGGCATGAGTTACTAACTTCAGGATGATGCCATTCTGTGGTTCTGTGTGCCTGTTTGCTCTTATTGTTCTGAAGTTGAACATGATTTGATTTCTCTTGCTCAGTGGCCTATACGACATGGAATCATTGAGGACTGGGATCTTATGGAAAGGTTCATGGAACAAGTGGTTTTTAAATATCTTCGTGCTGAACCTGAGGACCATTATTTTTTAATGGTGAGTAAATGGAACTAAGGCATATATTTCTGTAAATTCTTCTTGCTGGGATTTCTAACTTAGCTTGAAATTCAACTTTTCAACTTAAGGAATTTAAAATTCCTTCTGAAGACATTCACATGAATCAATGCAAATAACAGAAAGTTCAGTAAAATTATCTAGGAGCAAACACAGCCCATTATTCTGCAGAGCAGGAAGGAAGGGTCTGGTGGTTCTGGGGCTGCTTACTTTAGCAGCTCAGAGCTGGAATCTCCTTTAGCACAACTTCTTCTGTTAACTCCCCATCTCAGGATGGCTGGTGAGTTTCTGTCTGTCTGTCTGTCTGTCTGTCTCCCCTCTCTCCTCTCTCTTTCCTCCTTTATCTCCCTCTCTCTCCTCCCCTTTCTTGTTTTTTGCCAGTCCTGGGGCTTGTACTCAGGGCCTGGACACTGTCCCTGAGCTTCTTTTTGCTCAAGGCTAGCACTCTACCATTTGAGCCACAGCACCACTTTTGGCTTTTTCTGTTTATGTGGTACTGAGGAATCGAATCTAGGGCTTCATGCATGCTAGGCAAGCACTCTACCACTAAGCCACATTCCCAGCCTCCTCTCCAGGTATTTCTGTTCAGTCCGATCTAAGAGAAGCTTTTCCTTGAACACTGCTTTTTAGGAATTTAGAAACCCTTTCATAGAAACCTCCCAGCAGATTTACCCCATCTGCATATACCTGACTTGGTCAGTAGGGAGGAATGGATAACCTTAACTGATGAAGATTAATCAAGATCTCTCCCTGGGATGAGAAGGGTGGGACCATGGCTGGTATCTTGGACTCTGGGAGAGGAGGATTGGGTAAGGACTCCCAACAGTAAGCACCATAAAAGGAGGCATAGTTTTGCATAGGACACCAACTGTGTACTTTAGGACTTCTGAGGAGTAGCTAGATGCTAAGATCATTACTACTTCCTATAGCAGAAGAAACTTAGTTAATATGTTATTTTTCTTCTCCAGAGTTTTATGCTATAGTAAAGTAATTATCTTGTTCAAACTAATTATTGAGAAATGAGGAGAGACATTTCTTATTTATGTGGTATGCTCTGATTATTCTATCAAATATTACATGTTTCCTTCCATGAAATGTTCTTTTAAGTTAGAATTAATTGCATGTCTAAAATGGTATATAGTTAGATGCCAGTGGCTCATGCTTGTAATCTTAGCTACTCAGGAAGCTGAGATTTGAGGATGGCAATTCAAAGCCAGTTTGGGCAGAAAGTCTGTGAGTCTCATCTCTCCAATTACCAGCAAAAAATGTGGAGCTGTGGCTCAAGTGGTAGAGTATTAGCCTTGAGCAGAAAAGCTCAGGGTAAGCACCCAGGTCCCGAATACAAGCCCTAGGACCAGAAAAAAAAAAGCTGGTGTCAATAATCCTAGCTACTCAGGAGGCTGAGAGCTGAGGATCGGGGTTCAAAACCAGCCCAGGCAGGAAAGTCTGTGAGACTCTTATCTCTAGTTAACCACCAGAAAACCAGAAGTGGCACCATGGCTTAAGTGGTAGAGCACTTGTCTTGAGCCAAAAGGCTCAGGGACAGTGCCCAGGCCCAGAGTTCAAGCCCCACAACTGACAAAGAAAAAAAAAAGCTATCTATCTATATCTATATCTATCTATCTATATATATGGAGTAATTTACACTGATCTATGGTAGATTGGTTTGTCTTCATTTGCTGATTTATTTTACCTCGTGTTTCTATTTTTCTTTTCTTTTTTTTTTGTTCGGCTGTGGGGCTTGAACTCTGGGCCTGGGCGCTGTCCCTCAGCTCTTCAGCTCAAGGCGAGCGCTCTACCACTTGAGTTACAGCGCCACTTCCGGTTTTCTAGTGGTTTATTGGAGATAGGAGTCTCACGGTCTCTCCTGCCCGGGCTGGCTTTGAACTGCGATCCTCAGATCTCAGCTTCCTGAGTAGCTAGGATTATAGGCGTGAGCCACCAGCGCCCGGCTTATTTTTCTGTGTATATATTAAGTATAATTCAAGACCTTTTTCTTTTTCTTTTTTTTTTTTTTTCGGGGGGTGGGCAATCCTTGGGCTTGAACTCAGCACCTGGGTATTGTCCTTGTGCTTTTATGCTCAAGGCTAGCCCTCTACCACTTGAGCCACAGCTCTGCTTCCAGCTTTTTGGTGGCTAATTGAAGATAAGAGTCTCACATGCTTTCTTTCCTAGGCGGGCTTTGAACTGTGATCCTCAGATCTTACCTTAGTACAAAGCTGGATGATTTTTAAAATCACCTTAGGTTTCATCTGTCTGTAAGACTAGGGAGTTGTACAGTGTCCTAGCTACCGTATCTTTAGGTTAGTTTTTGTATAATTCTAATATAATTTCTTAAGCTTTGGGGCATGTACTAACTGGAACGAATGTTTTCTTACAGACAGAACCTCCATTGAATACACCAGAAAATAGAGAATATCTTGCAGAAATAATGTTTGAATCATTTAATGTACCAGGACTCTACATTGCAGTTCAGGTAAAAAAAAAAAAAGCTATTTTTTTTTTGTGATTTCTAAAGAATCTTACTCTAGCTAATTACAAAGGATCTTTGTTGTAAGGTTGTGTTGCTCTTCATCCACAGTGTGCATGTACATTCGTGGCCATGTACCATTTAGGCTGAACTAGAGCACTCTGGAGAACATAGTCCATGACTTACATAAATGTTGCTGGTATAGAAATGTAAAGTCTAGTGTTTTGTCCTATGGGTTTCTTTCACTTTTGATCAGACAAAAAAAAAAAAAACCAAAAAACAAACCCAAACCCTAGATATTGGAGAATCTTTTTTTTTTTTTTTTTGGTTGGTCATGGGGCTTGAACTCTGGGCCTGGGTGCTATCCCTCAGTTCTTCAGCTCAAGGCTAGAGCTCTACCACTTGAGCACAACACCACTTCTGGTTTTCTGTGTGGTTTATTGTAGATAAGAGTCTCATGGACGTTCCAACCTGGGCTGGCTTTGAACCATGATCCTCAGATCTCAGCCTCCTGAGTAGCTAGAATTATAGGTGTGAGCCACTGATGCCTGGCTTGGAGAATCTTTTGAAAAACTAAATACCTTTGGCAGTCACTATATTAATTTGAACTCTGATTAATCCCAGTGTACTCTTGGTTCTGAGAGGTCCTGAGCTTTCAGGAAAATTGACTGTTTTAGGTAGTTCTGTGTCTGCCACTTTATACAAATAAATTGGTTGAAGTTTTAGGGGATAAATGAGATGGATATTTTCCTCAGTTTTCTGACTAGTGTTAGTCCTTACTAAGAAAAAGGAAGAGGAAGTGTTCCACAGAGAAATGAATTTTTGGACTACTGTGCTCTGTTATCTTTGATTTACCCATAGTGCTTCTTAGTATAGTAAATACTCTGAGAATTCCAATGTTGAGAAAAATATATTTATTCTAGCAATTAGACAAATTCATTCAACTAATTATTCCTCCCCCAAGTTAAGTATATCCTGTATTACAGGGAGACACTTTAGAAAACACTGATTGAGTAATATCAGAGTGATCATACATTCAGGTCTTAGTTTCCCTGAAGAGTGAGTTTTTTTTTTTTTTGGGGGGGGGTAGGTCATGGGGCTTGAACTCTGGGCCTGGGTGCTGTCCCTGAGCTCTTCAGCTTAAGGCGAGTGCTCTACCATTTAAGCCACAGCACCATTTCCCATTTGCTAGTAGTTTTATTAGAGATAAGAGTTTCACGGGGGGCTGGGAATGTGGCTTAGTGGTAGAATGCATGCCTTGCATGCATGGAGCCCTGGGTTTGATTCCTCAGTACCACATACACAGAAAAAGCCAGAAGTGGTGCTGTGGCTCAAATGGTAGAGTGCTAGCCTTGAGCAAAAGAAGCTCAGGGACAATACCCAGACCCAAAGTCAAAGCCCCAGGACTGGCAAAAAAGAAAGCTGGGGTGTTGGTGCTGGGAAGGTGTTTCAGTGGTAGAGTGCTTGCCTTGCATGCGTGATGCCCTGGATTTGATTCATCAGCACCACATAAGCAGAAAAAACTGGAAGTGGCTCTATGGCTTAAGTGGTAGAGTGCTAGCCTTGAGCTGAAGAGCTGAGAGACCGCACCCAGGCTCGAGTTCAGGCCCCACGACTGACAGAAAAAAAAGAGTCTCACAGACTTTCTTGCCTGGGCTGACTTTGAACCATCATCCTCGGATCTCAGCCTCCTCAGTTGCTAATATTACAGGCGTGAGCCACTGGCTCCCAGCAAGAGTTTTTTTTTTTTTGTTGTTGTTGTTGGTTGACAGCCTGGCTGTTGTCACTTAGTTCTTCAGGTCAAGGTGAGCACTCTACCACTTGAACCACAGTGCCATTTCCAGTTTTCTGAGTGGTTTATTGGAGATGAGTCTGATGGACTTTTCTGCCTGAGCTGGCTTTGAACTGTGATCCTCAGATCTCAGCCTCCTGAGTAATTAGCATTACAAGTGTGAGCCACCATGCCCGGCAGCAAGTGTGTGTTTTAAAAGTACAGTTGTGCTTCATCCCTGACCAGTGTTTGGTAGCCTCTGTGCTCTGTGCTAGACAGTTCCTTGTATAGTAGTGTCCTGTGTGGTCCAGGATGCCTAGCAGTGGCCTGACCTCTACCTACTGGAGAACTACTTGCAGCCTTCCCTCCTGACACCTGTGACAGTGGTAATGGCTCCAGATGCTGCCCTGCACAGTACCTGCCCCTGGCTGAGAACCACTCTGCTATACCTGTCTGGCTAGAATTTCTGGCTGGGAACCTTAGCTGTCTGTATTATAAATAACTACAGCAGTGATTTAATGTTAGCTGGTCTGTGGCTTCACATGTAGAGAAACTGGATTAGAAATTATAATATTTGATTTTATAAAGAAATCTTTTTCAGCCAGGCAACTGTGATGCCTGTAATCCTAGCTACTGAGGAGGCTGAGAGCTGAAGATTGTGGTTCAAAGCCTGCCTGTGCAAGAAAATCTATGAGACTCTTATCTCTAACCACCAAAAAGCCAGAAGTTGAGCTGTGGCTTAAGTGATAGAGCATTAGCCTTGAGCAAGAAGCTCTGTGACAGCACCCAGGCCCTGAGTTTAAGCTCAGGCCTGGCACAAGAAGAAAAAAGAAGTCGGGCTTTGGTGGCTTACATCTGTAATACTATCTAGTCTGGAGGCTGAGATCTGAGGATCATGGTTCGAAGCCAGAGATGGGAAGATCACAGTTCGAAGCAGGAAAGTCTGTGAGACTCTTATCTCCACTACATCTACCAAAAGGCTGGAAGTGGAGCTGTAGCCCAAGTGGTAGAGTGCTAGCCTTGAGCACAGAACCTCAGGATAGCGCCCAGGCTCAGGGTTCAAGCCCCAGGACAGGCAAACAACAACATCAACAACAAAACCCTTCTTTATTTTATCCTGGCTTTTCTTTGTAAACCTTTAGAAGTCTTTGTTGGAAATTTGAGACTCCTGCATTTTAAATATATGTTAGGCTTTTAGGTTGGAATAGGGATCTTTTTTTTTTTTTTTGATGGCTAGGGGGCCTGAACTCTGGGCCTGGGTGCCATCCCTCAGCTCTTCAGCTCAAGGCTAGCGCTCTACCACTTAAGCCACAGCACCACTTCTGGTTTTCTGGTGGTTAATTGGAGATAAGAGTCTCATCGACTTTCCTGCCTGTGCAGGCTCTGAACTGAGATCCTCAGATCTCAGCCTCTTGAGTAGCTAGGATTATAGGAGTGAGCCACCGGTGCCTGACTTGGAATAGGAATCTTAGAGAAAGGCGTTAGAGGATATCTTAGAGGATAGGGAAAGAAAAGTGTTTCTTAGACTTGCTAAGTAAGAGTTTACTGATTCAACCAAAGAACAAGAAGGCTGACTGCGTTGGGGAATGTTTTGTGTCTTCTCTGTAGGCAGTGCTGGCTCTTGCTCGCGGCCTCGTGGAATGTTTTGTGTCTTCTCTGTAGGCAGTGCTGGCTCTCGCTCTCAGCCTCCTGGAATGTTTTGTGTCTTCTCTGTAGGCAGTGCTGGCTCTCGCAGCCTCCTGGACGTCTCGACAGGTCGGGGAGCGCACGCTGACTGGGACAGTCATCGACAGTGGGGATGGCGTCACCCACGTCATCCCAGTGGTAAGCACAGTGGTTCACCCTTGCTTCTGATCTGAGGTAAGGGGAGAGATTAGAAAAGCAAAGCAAAACCCTGCACCCTCTGTAATGAAAACACCATTTCTTAAGTGATGTAATTAGAAAAGGCAACAGGAGTTTTAAAAACCCAGGAATGTGGGGAGTGCAGGAGATGGCCAAGATGTGTGGCTTTGTACCTTCTACAGTCAGAATGTGAGCGGTTACCTGCGATTCTGGGGTCTCTCTGTCATTCCACGGCGAAGTAGCAATAGGATGCTCCTGCCTTGTATCTCTGGGCCTCTGGGTGACACCGTTTTGGATGTCAGTTTGTGGGTTCTTGCAAGCACATTTGAAAGTTTGTGCTCTGTGAAAAGATGTGAATGGTTGTAGTTAGCTCATGCTTGGAGAATTTGCCTTTGTTCTTTATTTTTATTTAAAAGTCAAGAAGCAGAGATGTATATTCTAGTATACAGAGCGCTCTGAAATAGCACCTTTTGGTTTCAAAGTTTTGAGATGTTAAGAGAAGTGACTCCAAATTCAGATTGTAGGAGCTTTTTGTTTTTTCCTTTTGGATCAATGCATCATTTGTTAGATTTATTTATTTGTTTGTTTTGTTGGTCGTGGGACTTGAACTCAGGGCTGGGTCCTGTTCCTGAGTTGTTTTTTTTTTCCACTCAGAGCTAGCACTCTACCACTTTGAGCAACCAGTGTCCATCTGGAAGAATTATTTAAAATTTATTTGTTTTTAAAAAACTAACTGCTTTTTAAGTGGAAAGTCAAACATTCCTGATCATCCTCATAGGTTTCCTCCTCAGTAACCACAGTGACTATTTTTGTGTCCTGTAGGTATGGTTTTTCCTTGTATTGGTGTATATGTATGTTTATATACCTACTTTAAAAAATGTGAATTAGAAGTTGGGCACTGGTGGTTCATGTCTGCAATCCTAAATATTCAGGAGGCTGAGGTTTGAGGGTCCTAGTTTGAAGCAACCTAGACAGAAAAGTGTACGAGACTCAATCTCTAATTAACCAGCAAACTTCAGAGTTGGAGGTGTGGCTTAAGAGGTAGATTGCTAGCCATGGGCAAGAAAGCTGAAAGCTAGGAGAGAGTGCGAGGCTCTGAGTTTAAGCCCTGGTACTGGCACTGGAAAATAAACTCCCCCTCCCCCAACACAAATTAGTAGAACCAGACATGGCAGTATCTACATACAATTCCATTACTTAGAGGCTGATGCAGAAGTTTGAGGTCAGCCTTGGCTGCATTGGGAGGTTTTGCCTCCCAAAATGACAACAGATTAGGACCAAGCACTGGTGGTTCACTCCTATAATCCTGATATCTGAGGATTGTGTTTTGAAGCCAGCCTAGGCAGGAAAAGTCTATGAGACTCATATCTCCAATTAATCACCCAAAAAGCCAGAAGTGGAGGTGTGGCTTAAATGGTAGAGTACCAGCCTTGACTGAAAAATCTAAGGGACAGTGCCCAGACCATGAGTTCAAGTCCTAGGACTGACTCAAAGCCCCAAATAACAAGCCAAACCCCCCCTAAAAAATTAAGATTTTAAACAAAAAGGAAAAAAAAAGAAAATCCCAGTGATCCATATACTTCAATTAGAAAAAAAATTGGCCACCATTTTGGTAACTTGAAGAAATGATTGTACATATTTAACTTACCAGTGGTTTATTGGAAAGGCCTCATCACTGATGTCCATCTATGTCCCTCCGGTGTGGCCTGTGCACAGGGTGTGAAGTCTGAACTTGCCTTGAGTACCTCAAGCCAATCTCAGAGTGCTGTTGTTATGGATTGCTGGAAAGTGTCCATGCACTTGTGGTGTAATACTAATGGAACTAAGGCCTCTGGCTTTGTCTGTGATGTGGTCCCCTCAGAGAACACAGATCCAGGACCAGCTGCTTTGGACACAGGGAAAATACATTTTATATGCTCTCTAGGCCCACAGAAAAAGTGGGGTGTGTGTGTGTGTGTGTGTGTGTGT